GATTCAAGTCCCATTTGAGTTCCCAGCTGAGTTCCCAGCTCGCAGACTTGGCCCTGGCCATCTTTAGCTCCAGTCATTGCAGGTATTTGGGCTGTGAACCAGCAGGTGAGACATCCCTCGTCACCTCTCTCTCTCTCTCTCTCTCTCTCTCTCTGTCTCCATCTCTCTCCCTCCCTCCCTATCAAACATAAAACACTCTTAAAAAGATGATTCTATTTCCAAGTACTACAAGCCAATGAGTAAAGAATGAATTTGAGTCCAATTCAGAAACACATTATCCTCATTTTATTAGTTGGGGTTTTTAAATATGTTTCTTTACTTCAATTTTTTCTTAATCTATAGAGTAGCAATTTTTGCTTTTTTAAAATTTGCTATAGGCAGTAAATCATAAAATACTTTTAAATGCTTAGTATAACTGCCAGACGGTAAGCATTCAATAAAAGTAGATGTTGGGGCAAGCATTGGTTAGTGTTTAAGACATTTGGGTCCCATATCCGAGTATCTGGGTTCAAAAATTGGCTCCAATTTAAACTGTGGATTCTTACCACTGCAGACCCCAGAAGGCATTAACAATGGCTCAGGCGTTATGGGTCCATGCCACCCACATGGGAGCCCTGGTTTGAGTTTTGGCCCCCAATTTCTATTCTGCCCCAGCAACAACCATTGCAGGCATTTAGGAAGTGAACCAGTAAATGGTAGTGCTCTCATCTTGTCAAATAAATAAGTAATAATAGTATTTTAAAGTACATGTTATTATTATTAATTTTGTCATGACTATTCAAAAATGATTTTTCAGTAGACAGGAGACTCCTTTGTTAACTGATGCTTTTCTGAAATCTCTCTGATGAATGATCTTTCTCACTCACAATGTTCTGTTTTCAAATTATTGACTCCTAAATCCATGAATATGTTCTCAAATTTCACCTTTTACATCCAAGAATTAATTGTCCTAGTGATAGAGCTAAGTTTTCTTGCACTTTGACTTCCATTTTTGCTACATCTCTGATTTAATTGCTGGTTCTGCCTTCTCCTTCTAGCCCCTGAATGTAGACTTTCAACATTTATATTCTTTTTTTTTTTTGACAGGCAGAGTTAGACAGTGAGAGAGAGGGACATAGAGAAAGGTCTTCCTTCCATTGGTTCATCCCCCAAATGGCCATTATGGCCAGCGCTGCGCCGATCCGAAACCAGGAGTCAGGTGCTTTCTCCTGGTCTCCCATGCAGGTGCAGGGCCCAAGCACTTGGGCCATCCTCCACTGCCTTCCTGGGCCACAGCAGAGAGCTGGAATGGAAGAGGAGCAACCGGGACAGAACCGGCGCCCCAACCAGGACTAGAACCCAGGGTGCTGGCACCGCAGGCAGAAGATTAGCCTAGTGAGCCACGGCACAGGCCTCAACATTTATATTCTTAAAGTTCTCTTCTCACTCAGTATTTTGCTTTCCTCTGTGGTCTCCATACCAGAGACTCTCAAACTGAAATCTCAAGTTCCAGACTTCACCTACACTCAAGACCTGTATTATAAACTTCCTGCTTATAATCTGCATCTTATTATTTCTCTGACCTTTAACACAAGCAGCCTCATTATATTCCTGTCAAAACTAACTGTTTACTAGTTTTACTTAGTGGCAATAATGTTCTTAAAATCATCAGATTGAGGCTATAGAGAACTTTTTAAGATCACATTTCTCGGTGAATCCTGGTTAAAAGTAGAGCAGCCCTCTCTGTCCCATGAAAACCCACATATTTTAAAATTTCCCATGCTTACCAGTTATTAGTGAAGAATAAAGGGAACTATAGTTTCTAAGTGTCGCTCCCCGTCTTCATGGAGGAACGACACTAAGCCCTGCCTAGGCTTCATATCCGAGTCACGGCACCATTATGTCGCTCCCCGTCTTCATGGAGGAACGACACTAAGCCCTGCCTAGGCTTCATATCCGAGTCACGGCACCATTATGTCGCTCCCCCTCTTCATGGAGGAACGACACAGGACCCTGCGCTGTTCTTTCGTCTGCTCGGCCCTCCCCGGGTTTGCTGCTGGTTCTTCCCGGGTTGGCTACTATCCCTTCCACCTCCGTGGAAGGGCAGTTCCCCCTGGCCACATTCCCCATTTCCGCAGGGGAGCGGCACACCGCCGGCCGGCTCTCTGGGGGCTGCACAGGTGTTCCTTCAGCTAGATGTTCCCCTTAGATGTTCCCGGTGCATGCCGTCTCTCTCCTCCTTTATAGTCCTCCTCCGCCAATCCCAACTCGGCTGCCCACACGCCGAGTACGCTGCTCTCCTCCAATCAGTAGCAAGTCCTACAGTTTATTGGTTGAACTGGAGGCAGCTGTGCGGAAGCTGTTTACTTCTCTCCCAGCGCCATATTGTGGGAGAGCAGATGCATAGAACAAGTCTTAATTCCAGTTAACTCAGTCTAGTCCGGATTGCTCCCCACACTAAGAAATACCAGAATAAAAGTCAATTCTGAAGAGTGGGAGCAGGGGAGAGATGAGTGCATGTGACTCTCATTTTAAAACACTTCTCAGTATCTGTTGCTGTCAACATGCAATGAGCTAGCAAGCTGCATACAGGAATGAGGACACATATTGACTTCTAAAGATGTACATCACAGTGTTATTTGTATTAATAATGTTAAAACATTTAAATTCTCCACAATGAGGCATTGATAGGTTAAATATTTTGTACGTATGAAAGTGTAATGGAGGCAGGCCATTTGCTGCAGTAGTTGAGATGTTGCTTGGGATACTCACATTACATATCCAAGAGCTTAGGTTTGAGTTCTGCTCCATTTTCAACCCCAGCTTCCTGCTAAGGTGCATCCTGAAAGTCAGGAGGTGATGGCACAAGTACTTGAGTTCCTGCCACCTACATGGAAGACTCAGATTTAATTCCAGTCTCCTGGCTTCGGCCGGGCCCAAACCCAGCTCTTGCAGGCATTTTCAGAGTGAACCAGCAGATGGAAGATCTCTCTGTGTCTGTCTGCCTCTCTCTGTCTCTCTAGCTTTCAAATAAATTAAAACAAATAAAATGAAGACATATGGTAAATACTGTGAAGGAATTCAAATTGTGGCATATTTCATTCATTGATAGGAAAATATAATTGTATGCATTAATGTTTTAAAAAGAGAGACTGGAAAGAGGAAATTGGGTTTGGTGAAAAATAATGTTAAGGACCATTATTTGCTTCAAAATTGTAGTGTGGATTTCTGTGTATAAATGCAATGATTCTATTTTCATTGTTTTCCAGAGAACGCTTGAAAGCAGACAGAAGAAGTAAAATAGATTTAAAGTAGTCTAAACATTTAAGGAGTGCCAATTTTCAAAGAATCATAGAATTCAGAAATAACATTAAATACCGTGTCCAAATTCATTTTATATGCCTTGCGACAATTGAGTAATTGTCTCTGTGTCATATACCTGGTTATGACAGATATGGAATTTGAGGCTTCTAATACCATTCTATTAATTCTCACTGTTTTCCTATCACTGTTAACCTGACAAATGCATCCTCATGTGTGAGAATTAATGCATCCTCAAAGCTTGAGATTCACCCTTAGGGAAACTAAATTGTATTTTTAAAGTAGAAATATTTGGAAGTAATTTTTATCTGGCTTTTTGTGCTTGAAAAATGAGTGCCCTTATTTAGACTGCTTACCTTTTCTGAGTCTCAGCTACTTTGCAAAATAGGAGGATTGCTGTCTATACCACAGGGCTGTTTTGAGATTTCCATGAGATAAACTTGAGAACAGCCCTTAGTGTGTATACAAGGACTCTTCAATCAATGTCAGTTCTTCCCCTTGCTCTTTCTGCATTGCTTTGGAATGGATCAATTCACTCAACTATAATAATGGGTTGAATCATGTCCCTTTGACCCCAAAGCATAACCCTGTTCTTCAGAACAAATTTCTATTAAACCAGTCAGTTCGTAAAACTTTGTTACAACAGACCTAGTTTGTATGAAGTGGACTGACCATTGCTTGTGATCTATTATCTCTTAGGGACAGTTGTTTAGTGGTCTTTATCAGGATCTGTAAAGTCCTTCTTTTGCAATTGCAAGGAAAATAGGTTTAAAATCCCTTCTAGCCAACTCTTAGTTAACATGTCATTTCAAGAATGGAGAAGGCATGGAGTCTCATAAATATGTTATTCTGATTCTAGTCTTCCAAAATCTTACTAAACCTAAGCTAGTCATGCTTGTTAAGGGTTTGTAGAATAGACAGATTGAAAGACAGAACTCAATCTTTATACCCATGCCTGTACCAGATCTATACAATTTATATCCAAATATGTTCTGCTTTTTAAGAATCATGATACTGCAAACTCCCCCACATTTTATTAAAAATGAATTGACCATTGCCAATACCACCATTTTAATAAAATTGTCATGTCAATCTCTCTCATATGTTCTTATTTACAATAAGTTACCACACCTAATGCATTGTTAGGTAACTGATGCCCCCTCCCCTTTTTGCTACAGCTCTTCAAATAAAACTTAATGCACATTTCACTTGTGGATAGTGTAGCAGCAATGCAACTATTAGGCCAAAGGTTATAAACATTTTTAATATATATGGTTTGATCATTTTGCAGAAAAGCTGATTATTCTGTCCTTGGGTTCAATCCCAAGAAAATTCGTGATAGTACGAGGAGGAAATCAAAGTTATGGAAAGCACTGGTAGTGTTAGTACTTAACATCCTCAGCAAGTAATGAATATTACTTAAGAAAAGTTCAAAGATACAGCATGATGATAAGTGAAGAAATCTTTCATTCACAGCTTTTCTGGAACTCAGAATTTAAATGTAACATAACTTATTAAACTACCAGCCCAAGTACTGAGCAAAAGCATCTCTACTCTATGCTATTTGGAATGTTTCTACTGATCTGCACGCTGAGTGTTTAGTTCAGAGATAATTTTAAATAAACTGTTGTCATTTGAAAATAAACAGCCTGGACAATGTATGGTCCATTTGGAATACTGAGAAAGTAAACAATCTAGGATATACTTCCTTCTCGCTCTTGTAGCCCTTTTTGAATGGGTGCTCCACATACTGCCCTTTCTTCCCCAAAGCTGAAGGTTTTATTTAAAATAAAGCTGTTCATTTAGCATTTCTAGAAGACCCTTTTTTGAGGATCCACAGCAATGAATGGCTTTGGAGCTGTGCTTCTAAGAAACCAGTTTATTCTCCTGGTGCTATTTCTCTTGCAAATTCAGATTCTGGGTCTAGACATCGATGGTCGCCCTACTGCAGAAGTCTGTGCCACGCACACAATTTCACCAGGACCGAAAGGTGAGGAAAGAAACCAAAATTTTTCTGCCCTCATTTCTCAACCCTACCCTCAATGACTTTTCCTTCTCCACTCCCACTTCCTTCTATTATGGAAAATCTGAAATCTGTGGTCTGTTTTTTATTTAAAATTCTCCTTTGATGTTAGGTAAGAGAGTTGGGAGCTGGTGAAACCCCTGAGGAAGAAGTCTTAACAGAATTCACAAGTCAGGGGGAATTCCCTCTCCCATATGTCCCAGGGTAGATGCACATTCCTGAGATTCATCTGCAGGAATCCTTTCTTCAGGAGCATCTCTATTTCTTTCCTTTCTTTAAAAGAGCATCTTTATTCTTGAGTAGCTTTTATTTTACTTCTTTCTCACAGATTCTAGTTAAGCTCTTTAGGCAAAAGGTCAGTAATGTAAGAATTAAATCTCAAACATGTATCTTATAAGCTAATTGGTTCTTCTGTTCCAACGAGAAGGATGACACATTTTTGTCAATGATTGGAAGTAATATATAAATGAACATTTCTTTATTTGAAAGTAGAGTCTTTGGTGCCAAGTGCCTTTTGGTGGAGAATGAGAGCATATTGCAAAACGTTTTTTCAAGTAGAGCCAAGTTCCAAATATGCTTTAGGCAACTAGTTGATAAAAAAAAAAATCTTGTTTTTCTGGTTTCAGCTCTTACCCTTTTGTTCTGAGAGTGGTCACTGCACTGCAGATTGGTGCTCTCTTATTAGTAATTCATGCTATGTTTCTCCAGGCTATGGGGTGGAAGAATTGCAGCTGCTTAAAATTTTAAGTAGAAAAAAAGAGACTTTCCAAAAAAAATCAAATGCACATGGCCCTATGCTTGTCAGTTATTTAAATGTGTATTGCTTAAAGTGCATTTTCTTAATCAGTGAATTAATTTCCCTCTAAGATTGCAATCCAAGTTTTAACCTTTGATACTGTAAAATAAATGCAGAGAAGAACAAGGAGACCTTGGGGCTTCCAAATAATTTCTTGGGTGAATAAATGAATAATGTGAGGGCAAATGTTCAGAAAAGAAAGTTTCTATTAGAAATAAGGTATTTACTTAAAACCATTACTGAATTTTTTAATAGAGGGTAGCAAACTTGTATTATTCCTGGGGTGTTGTGAGGAATGCTGAAAATTCAAGGTTTTCCTTGTCTGTGCAAATGAGAGCATTTATTTGAGAATAGCACTGTGTAACTGATTTTCCTTGCTGAGAAATTGCAACTTTGATATCAGAAGAAGATGGACAAAATATTGTTAAAAGAATGCCTAAAATAGAATGCATTCCAACCCAACAGTCTGTTTTTTCCAGTTCAGCAAATATGTGTTAAATGCTTATTAAAGATCAATTACTATTTTATGCACAAGATATACATTAAATAATATACATGATCATCATAATTATTGGAAAGATGAATAATTTAAGAGAGGAAATGAGGGCCAAAGGAGATGTTCTACGAAGATGGTTATTGAGTTGGGTCTTAAGTATGAGACTTTAGGCAGATGGAGCACATCCTAGGGAGTAGGCAACGCTTGGCAGGAACAAAAAGAAGAGAAACTCTGTAGAATGTGCTTGGAAAAAAGAAGTTCATTAATTCTCACTTTGGGAGTTTATGAAGTACAGGTAAATATTTCCAAGAAAAAGGACAAGGGATATACCTTCAACTTGAAAAATCCACTTAATTTCTTCTTTTTACTTGAATCCATATGTAATTAGTATTTATTGAATATCAATTGGGTGTCCACCAAGAGTCTCTTTATTCTCATTTCTTCACCTACCACAAACTCCTTCCTTCCCTTTGAAAATCTTGTTGGGGCCTGCGCCATGGCTCACTTGGTTAATCCTCTGCCTGTGGTGCCGGCATCCCATATGGGCGCCAGGTTCTAGTCCCGGTTGCTCCTCTTCCAGTCCAGCTCTCTGCTGTGGCCCGAGAAGGGAAGTGGAGGAGGCCCAAGTGCTTGGGTCCCTGCACCCACATGGGAGACCAGGAAGAAGCACCTGGCTCCGGGCTTCAGATCTGCACAGCGCCAGCCGTAGCGGCCATTTGGGGAGTGCACCAACAGAAGGAAGACCTTTCTCTCTGTCTCTCTCTCTCACTGTCCATAACTCTACCTGTCAAATAAGGAAGGAAGGAAGGAAGGAAGGAAGGAAGGAAGGAAGGAAGGAAGGAAGGAAGCCGGCGCTGTGGCTCACTAGGCTAATCTTCCGCCTTGCGGTGCCGGCACACCGGGTTCTAGTCCCGGTCAGGGCGCCGGATTCTGTTCCAGTTGCCCCTCTTCCAGGCCAGCTCTCTGCTGTGGCCAGGGAGTGCAGTGGAGGATGGCCCAAGTACTTGGGCCCTGCACCCCATGGGAGACCAGGATAAGTACCTGGCTCCTGCCATCGGATCAGCGTAGTGCGCTGGCGGCAGCGTGCCAGCCGCAGCGGCCATTGGAGGGTGAACCAACGGCAAAGGAAGACCTTTCTCTTTATCTCTCTCTCTCACTGTCCACTCTGCCTGCCAAAAAAAAAAAAAAGAAAGAAAATCTTGTTATGATTCAAACAATGGAAATCTCGCTAACTCCCTTCCTGGGCTGTATAAGACATGAGATGATTTCAAGCCAGACTGATGCAGGATGAAGAAGTGAATATTCCTGGGAAAAAGGGACTTAGAAGGGGGAGCTCCTAAGTTCTGAGTTCCAGAACTAAGTCTGCCATGAGCTCTAGGCAGACTTTCTTCTTTTCCTCTTTTCTTACCCTGGAACCTGGGCATTTTGTATCAGACAGATTCTAAGTTCTCTTAGTAAACAGCTTCCACAATCCTGGAATATACTGAACACCAGTAAGTCTCAGGCATCATTACTAGATGCTAACTAAGAAAAAGGAACCTGTTGTACCACTTCCATCTACTATATCAAGCTTGGCAGTAGATTATGAACTCTTGAGGTCAGCATCCAATGAAGTTGACTTTTTAGTTTGCAAAGTACCTACACATGCACATGGAGTTAACATGAGACCCTTCACTGCTGTCTTTCCTCTGCTCTGTGTTAAATGTTGTGGATGCCTACACACCAAAAAAGCACTACATGACACCTTTCATCTAGATATAAATAGCTTGGCCAGCATTGTACGGTCAAGAGTAAAGTAGCCACCTGCAACTCCAACATCCAATATGGGTGCTGGTTCTTGTCCCAGCTGCTCCACTTCTGATCCAGCTCCCTGCTAATAGCCTGGGATATCAATGGAAGATAGTCCATGTTTCTGGGACCTTGCCACCCACATGGGAGACCTGGAAGAAGCTCCTAACTCCTGGCTTTGGCTTGGCTAATGAGCACTGGCCTTTGTGGCATGAACCAGTGGATAGAGGATCGCTCTCTCTCTCTTTCTCCTCCTATCTCTGTAATTCTGATTTTCAAATAAGTAAATCTTTTTAAAAAGATAGCACCAGATATCCATCTAATTTCTTCATTAATATTTTGGTAGTCTCAACCTAACCCCAAGTCAGAATTGTATGTTTAATTTGCAAAATGAAGAAATGAAATGCCTGATAAGCAAGTAAGCATTTTAAGGGACTAAGTCATTGCTTCTGTTCAATATTTCTTCCTAAGACCAAGCTGGGCTATATTTATCTCCATGGCTAATCATCTCACTATAGTACATACTAGCACTGCAGCTTTATACCCAGAAACTTCTAGATACACTGGGAAAAAAAAAACAATTAAAGGAATTTTCCCTAAACTCATCTCACAGAGTAGAGTAAGTAACTTATTTAGAGTTGAAGGTGAAAAGCCACTAATACAAATTAACTTAAGAGATCATTGACAATTCCTAGGCATTATCTTTATGGAATTATTTCCCAAATGTGATTTAGTGTAAAGAAAGACACTCTAGAATGAATCTATTTGATTTTCAGCATGGTATTGTATCTATTTTGCTTCAGTTTCCTGATTTGCAACATGAGTGCCAGCACAGACTTGTTTTAAAAATAATGTAAGGTGATCATTGTCAACATTAAGCTGTGTAGACATCCTAAGTAAATATTTAACAAATTTTATTTTTCTTTCCTTCATCTCTCCATCTAAGTCTGTTGAATAACACTTTTGGGAATAAGCACTTTCCCAGTTATCAAAACTTCTGTGTTTAAAGCTATTATTTTCCTTTCTACGCCTTAAATTTATTATTTTATGCTGTTTAGTAGGAAAAACAATGTTCTCTGCCTTGGTGTGATTTCTTGAAACAATTTATGTGAAATTCTGACCTCTAGTGGTTTTACTTAAAAATAACAATGACAAGAAATTTTAACAAGAAATGTTAAAAAGAATATCAAAACCAATAAATTTTTGGATGATGCCTTACAATTTTCAAGGAACTTTGGAAGTGTGATAACTGTGCTTCACAGAAATATATTGTGTATTTTATGAATAACTGGAAGAGAGGCGCTCAGGGTCTCAAAATATAAAGTAATGATAATGGGATGGAAATGTCCATCACCCTGCTTTAATCACTTCACATTTTATACAGTTATTGAAATGTCTCACTGGACACTTATTTCATGTTAATCAAAAATTTTAAACATATTTTTAAGAGGCTTAATATGCTAAATGATGGGACAAAGACATAAGCCTCAGCCATTCTCACTCATTGCCCAAAAAAATAGATAAACCTTGGAATTTATTCCTTGTCCTTGAATCTCAATTGGGTCTCACACACTATTGCTTTCTTTCTTTTTTTTTTAAAAATAATTTGTACATTGCCTCCTCTCTATTCTGCACCTCTTTTCCTAACATTTTGGTGCCCCGTGTGAGGAGGCACCAATCTGCAAATATTTTCCTAACACTAACTTCCCTGGGTTGATCATTACACATTAAATACATACATTGAAATACCACACTGTATCCCACAAATATGTCCAACTAAAATAATAATTTTTTAAAAACCAGAACTTCAAGTACATTCTTCATGTAATTTTCACTATTTCTCTATGTGGCAGTAATACTTTTAACCTTAACCAAAGGGAAACAACC